AGAGAGAGAGAGAGAGAGAGAGAAAGGCGCCTTACTTACCCCCTGAAGCAGTCCGTTGTTAGGGTCTCCCTGTCCGGCGATGCGCTGTTCCCGGCCAATGCACCAAATGTTAGGGTCCAGCGGAGCGTCGGAGAAAGAGACCACACAAGAGACTGGCTCCATGCAATTGGCAAAAGGGGATTTATTGGGGATCCATCCCAGCACGCTGGGGCTCCATGCTCACTCAAGAAGGGAGAGCAGCCCAGAGCCCCGAGCAGAGGTCAAGCAGAGCTTAAGTACACTTTCTGGAGAGGGCGGTTGGCTTTGCATACATCAGAACAAATCGTCATGAGGCGCAGGAAAATTGAACAACAACTCTGAGATGTGATTAGCACATTCATTGGCAGGAACAGGTCGGGTGGGGGTGATTCAAACTGATTGGTTCAGGCCCTGTGACGAACTGCACAGGGCCCTAGGCTAAATGGCCAGTAGGGCATTGTCTTAGCTATCTCAGGAATCTGGGTGTAACAGAGGAACTTAATAATACCTAATCTTTTACATTCAAGCTTTCCAGCTTAGAAACTTTACCCTTTCAGTAGAAAGCTTAATATAAGGGTTTTATCCTATAAGAGTGTCAGGAAAGGACTTTTCAAAAGTGTTCCTTAGACATTCAAGAGCTAAAAGTAGAGGAAAGAGTATTCCAGGCACAGGGAATAATACAAATGAAAGCCTTGTGGCACACAAGAAAAATGTCCACTAGGGATGGAAGTGAGAAAGGAATATATTTTTAATATAAATTGGCAAAATCACCTAAGACGGTTGTAGGGACAGATGAGGCAAGGCACCAAAGATAGCAGGAAACAGTTTTATTTGGCTGCAGCTGTTATGCTTGAATTTGGGACCCCTAAAGACCACCAGAGACCCAAGATCGATGTAAGCAGCAAAGAGGTGTTTATTGCGAGCTAGCTCGGTTCTCCGCACACACACAGCAACTGGTGACGCTGAGAGGCCCCGAACCCAGGGTTTGCAGCATTTTTGTACATTCTTTGGAGAGGGCAGGGACTTCACATACATCATAGCCTCTTTTAGCAAATCATCACACACCGTGGGAAAATCAAATGACAACTCTAAAACATGATTAGCACATTCACTGGCGGGAACAAAAGGGGTATTCATCTGAACTGATTGGTTTAAGCCAAGAGGGGTGTACGTGGTTTCCCAACTTGTTATCAACCACCATAAACTACTGGGAGGGTTATCTGGAATCCCAGGTATTTCCCTGTCTCATGCTAATTGGGGGCTGCTATGGATCCCCACCTAGCCTGACTGAGTCAGGGACATCTGGCGCAGCAGATCTCTCCTGTTATTTGTAGATAAACAACTTAGTGAAGCCAGATTTAAAATTAGGTAGTCAGTGTAGTTGGGTCTAATACCAAGTGAAATCTAAAATGGAGGCCATGCTGAGAATGACTCAGGGAAATGCAGGACAACTCATGGAATGTTAATGAAGTCTGAAAAGGCCCTAGGCCAAAGTCCACCTCAAAGAAGTGTTAATGAACAGCCCCCAGCAAACTTAAAGATAGCCCATCACAAAGAAATGTCCCACCCCTCGGGCCTTCCAACCTACATTCCATCACCAAAACTATAAAAAGGGGAAACAATCGCACTTCCACGGATTCCACCTTTTGGGTCCCCTTCTTCCTCTGGGAGAAGTCTTTTCTGCTGTCCTTTAATAAACTTCTAATTTCTACTCTGACCTTGCCTTGGTGTGCTTCTTTGGTGTTATTCTTCAACATCGGGGAAGCAAGGACTCTTCAACAGCGGTAACATTAGCAGGGTGGGAATATGCTTAGGAGTGCTCTGTGGGTTTTTCCAAGGACAAAGGCCATGTCCCTTCCTTGGACAGGCTTTGCTCTGAGATAGAGGCTTGTTTTTCACAGCCAGGTTCATAGGGCATAGCTTTTGCTATAATCATTAATCCTCTGAGCCCCGGCTTCAGGTAGTTTCAGAGTTTTATACCCAATATGTAAAGGGAGGGGTTCAAAGGTTCACAATCTGCAGAAGTTCACATAAAAGCAGCTTTTTCTTTCACAGTTTTGGGCAAGCTAACCCTTCAAGGACAACACCTGAGAAAGGGTCAAATGTTGGTTCCATTCCAAGATCTCCCTCTTATTTCCTCTCTCTGCCAGCTGTTACCATGGAGCCCAATTGGTAACTTTTCTTGTCTTAAAAATGTAGATATCTCTGTGAAGCCCAGCTCAAGGCCAGAGGCCTTATTTGCACATTTCTACAAACTACTATATTGGATATGTTTGGGAAAAACTAGTAAGGGGGTGTCCAGCACCTGGAGTGCTGGTATCTTCCCAGCCAGTGGCCAAGTAAAACAGGGCGACACAAAAATAGGAAGTTTATCTACATTGAACTCTTTTGCAGAGACTCTTTTGCTGACAGTCCTAAAATCAGGCATGGTGAAGATTTCTGGAAAAGCCCAGTTAAGACTTTTCTGTGGAGAAAGGGGGTGCCACTGAAGCCAGATTTAAAGTTAGGTAGTCAGTGTAGTTAGGTAAATCGGGTCTAATATCAAGTAAGATCCAAAATGGAGGCCATGTTTAGAATGAATTCCTGGAAAAGTTGAACAACTCTTGGAATGTTAATGAAGTCTGGGAAAAGCCCAAGACCACAGCCCATCCCAAAGAAGTGTTAATGAACAGCCCCCAGCAAACTTGAAGATGCTGGCTCAGAAGTCCTTCCTGCCCAGATTATTTCTTTGACCCACCTGTGTCCCATCCCTTGGGCCTTCCCACCTACATTCTATCACTGAAAGAACTATAAAAATGGGAAACAACTGCACTTCCACAGATTCCATCTCTTGGGTCCCATTCTTCCTCCAGGAGAAGTCTTTTCTGCTGTCCTTTAATAAACTTCTATTTTCCACTCTAAACTTGACTCTGCATGCTTCTCTGGTGTTATACTTCAACATTGGGGAAGCAAGGACTTGTCACTGGTCAACAGCAGTAACACCACTACAAGACTGTAGGTTATTTGAGGAATTTTGTGTATTAAAAAGCAATGAGATATTTTCAAGTGGAGAATGACATTAATAAGAGTTGAATTTTAAAAAGACCCCTCTGGCTTGCAGGAGGTATGGTAGAACCAGAGGCAGAGTCCAGGGATCTTAAGAAGAGTCAGTTAAAAGACCTTCACGGTGGGTTAGATATAGGATGTGAGGATTAGAGGTACCAAAGATGACCCCTGGTTTTCTGGCTTGCATAACTGAAAGTGAATGTGCCATTCACTGCAAAAGGCAGAGAGAGAAGAACAAAGTTTGAAGGGCAGGAATACAATTTTAGTTTTTAGATGTACTGTTTTATTTATCTATTTTTGAACTGGGAATTTAACCCATGGGTAATTTACAACTAAACTACATCCTCACCCCTTTTAATTTTTTTAATTTTTATTTTGAGATAGGGTCTTGCTAAATTGCTGAGACTGGCCTTGAACTTGAGATCCTCCTGCCTCAGTCTTCTGAGTGATATCACTATGCCCAGTTTACACATGCTGAATTTTAATGATTTTGAGACCTACAAACAGGGAAGTTGAGTATGTTGATTATACAATTTGAATTTACTAGCATATAGTAATATCTCCATAAACATTTATCAAAAAACAACAAAAAATAAACCTAATTTTAAAAATAGATTTTCCTAAGATGAGCAAAGACAGGAGTTAGAAGTCAACCTTCTAATTACTATTGGAATTTCTATGCTGTGGGAATTCATAGGGTTCTGACTATAATTCAAATAGCTAGGCCTCATGAACTTATAACTATTATAATGGCTTGAATCGTCACTATCCTAGTGGTAACTCCTTGGCAAAATATTTTCCACTACAATTACTTCTGGGGATCCCCAAATGAATGCTGTATTTGTCTGCTACAGCTGCCACAACAAAATAGCACAAACTGGACAGCTTCAATTGAAACTTATTTTCTCACAATTCTGGAGGCTGAAAGTATAAGGTCAAAGTGGCAGTAGGGTTAATTTCTTCTAAGGCCTCTCTCCTTGGCTCATAAATGGGCATCTTCTTCTGCCTTTACATGGTCTTCCCTTTGTGTCTTCATCCTAATTTCTTCTGATGATGATGCTGGCCATGTTAGATTAGATCTCACCCTATTTACCTCATTTTAACTTTATTACCTCTTGGAAGACCTTCAAGAGGCTTCAACATATGAATTTATTTGGTGGGGGTATCTAGGATTGAACTCAGAAGCACTCGACCACTGAGCCACATCTCTAGTCCTATTTTGTATATTATTTAGAAACAGCATCTCACTCAGTTGCTTAGCACGTCCCATTGCTAAAGCTAGCTTTGAACTCACATTCTTAATGTCTCAGCCTCTCAAGCCGCTGGGATTACAGGCATGCATCCGGCTGTATGAATTTTTGGGAGACAAAATTCAGCCCCAAACAGATACCTTATATGTGTTCATAAGCAAACCTGGCAACCTCTATGCCAAGTATACTAATCAGTGATAGCAGACATTCTTCTCAGATGCCAATGTAAGAGTAAAAGAAATTGAAGTTAAAATGTAAAAGACCGAGCATTGTAAAGTTTCTAAGCTGCAAGGCCTGAGTTAAAAAGTGAAGGATCAGGTAGTTCCTCTGCTACACCCAAAACCTGGAATTCCAGTAGCCGTAAGGACAATACCCAGAACTGCCCAGTAAATATTCTCCCTGACCCTCTTGTTGTTTAATAACCTAGGACCCAGTGCAGTTTGGCACGTAAGCATTCAAGGCCCACACCAATCAGTTTAAATGTGTACCCCGCTTAGGAGTGACCAATCACCCCCGCCTGACCTGTTCCCACCAATGAATGTACTAATCAAGTTTAAGAATTATTGTTTGATTTTCCCGCGCCTCATGATGATTTGTTCTGATGTAGGCAAAGTCCCCGCCCTCCCCAAAAATTTCACTTAAGCACTGCTCAACCCCTGGCAGGGGCTCTGGGCTGCTCTCCCTTCTTGAGTGGGCACAGAGCCCCAGCGCACTGGAATGGATCCTCAATAAATCCCCTTCTGCAATTGCATGAGTCAGTCTCTTGGTGGTCTCTTCCTCCGACGTTTCACCGGACCCTTACGTTTGGTGCATTGGCCGGAATCGCGCATCTCCAGACAAGGAGACCCCCAACGGACTCCTTTAGGGGGTAAGTAAGGCGCCTCTTCCTCCGACATTTCCCGGACCCTTATACTACTTACAGCACATGGTTCTAAGCAAAGGTAAAGAGAATAACTTTCTCAGTGGCATGTTTGTCTGGCCATAGAACAACAGAGCTCACACAAGAATCTAGAAGAGTCTCTGAAGATAATTACCTTTTCATCTTTTTCTCTCCTTCCTTATCTACTGTACTTCTCCAAAATATACCTTGGGGGAAAAATTGCACCATCATCAGATTCCAAAGGAGACAACCATTATCCAAGCATTCCTTTCCTTTTCTTGCACATTTTCCTATCCCACCTAAAAGGAAGCCAGCTTTGGCTCAATACAATTCATATCACCCAGCTTATCACTTATATTCAAGAAAATCACTTAAGATGAACTGATTAAGATAAACAACATCTTTAAATTTAACTGAGAGACCATTCTAAAGATATTTCCCAATAAAAATTGAAAGCATTAAATTGAAGTTTCCATTGTTGACACAAAAAAGTTTACAACTTATTAAAAAATTATTCATTTTGAAAAATCAACAGAAAAATATGCCAAAGTTTAGAGAGATCAAATTGTACCTTATCTCCCAGTCTTCACCCCAAAAAGAAAACAATTTTACTTTTTTCTTTTGTTTTTCTTAGAGTCTATGATTTTACAAATATATAATATATATTCCTGCTTTATATATATTACAAATATATATAAATATATATGTTCCTGTTTTCTTTTTACCCATTTTCATTTTTCTTGCTTTTTGGTAGTCATTTCACATATAAAATGCCACCTTTTAAAAAAAATACATTCAATAAGGTTTATTAAAAACAGAGCAACCAGTTTATACAAAGTGTTTATAATTTCTACTTTTAATGAACTATTAATAATTGCCAAGTATTCAAAGTTCAGTAATAGTCAAGGACTGTAATAAGCACTTTATCTCATTCAAAATATCACAATAAAAGCATAACTTTATACACATACACACACACACATATATACATATATGTATTTTGGGGATAAGACATAGTATAGGGATTGAACCAGAGGCCTCCTATCGATGGGTCATACCCCCAGTTCTTTTTATTTTGAGGAAAGTTTTCATTAAACTAATGAGGTTGGCCTCAAACTTATGATCTTCCTGCTTTAGCCTCTCAAGTAGCCAGGATTGCAGATGTGTGCCACCACTCTAGCTGGAAGCTGCCTCCTTTATGAAGGAGGAATGCTATGAATGAAAATTGCACAGATGTACCATGATTAGCCAATTCTCAAATTATGAACATCTATGTTTCAAGTTTTTTACAATTTCAAACTGCTGCTAAGAATATGCTGTGATGTATGTTGAGCATCCTTTCATATGCTATTTTGCAACCTGTGTATCTTTTTTTGTGAGATATCCATTCAGATCTTCCACCAAATTTTAAATTGGGTTGTTTTCTCACTGTTAAGGATTATTTTGTTGGTGCATTATAATTATACATAATAGTGGGTTAAGTTTTAAGAGGTCTTTGCATATTTTAGATAAAAATCTTTATCAGGTGTGTTCTGAAATATTTCCTCCTGGTATTTTCATTTAAAAAAAAATTTGTCTTTCACAGAGCAGAGCCTCCACTTTAATGAAATCCTACTTATCAATTTTTTCTTTCATAGATTGTGCTTTTGGTGTTGTACCTTAAACTTCACTGACAAATGTAGGGTCACCTTCATTTTCCGTTTTCTTCTAGAAGTTTTATAATTTTGAATTTTACATTTAGTTCTATGATTCATTTGATCATAGAAGATATATTAGATTCTCTTTTTTTAATGGATTTCCAGTTGTTCCAGCACTGTCTGTTTAAAAGACTCCTTACTCCATTCAGTTACTATAACTACTTTGTCATAAGTTGGTTGACTATTTGTGTGGCTATTCTTTCACCACCACCACCCTCTCTCAATTACTGTAGCTTTGAAGGAAGGCAGTGTCAGTCCAATGCGTTCTTCAGTATTACCTTGCCTATTGTCTTTTGCCTTCCCATATAAACTTTAAAATCATTGTCCATATTTTCAAAAGTACTTCCTGGAATTTTGGTTGAGATTGCACTGAATTTCGGTATGAAGTTGGGAATAACTAATATGTAAACTTGAGTTTTGTAATCCACAAGCCCAGGACATCCTTCCAATTTTTAGATTTCTTTTATCAGTTTTGTAGTTTTCTGCATATAAATCTTATACATATTTTAGATTCATACCTATTTATACTTCGGGGAGGGAGTACAAATGTAATTAGTATAGTGCTTTTTTTTTAAAAAAGTTTTGTTTTGGTACGGGAAGTGAGGGGGATTGAAACCAGGGGTACTTAACCACTCAGCAACATCCCCAGCCCTTTTTTGTTTTGAAACAGAACCTCTCTAAGTTGTTGAGGCTGGATTTGAACTTGCGATTCTCCTGCTTCAGCCTCCCAACCCACTGGATTACAGGCATGCACCACTGCCTGTAATTTCAAATTTCAATTATTCATTGCTGTTATACAGGAATACAACTGACCTTTGTATATTAACTTTATATTCTAAAATCTTGCTATCATTGCAAAATTAATTGCAAAACTGGTTATTATTTCTTTGGAATATTCTGTATAAGCAATTATGTCATCTGTGAACAGACTGACATTTCTTTCCAATCTCCATGTCTTATTGTATTAGCTAAGACATCCGGTACAATCATGAGGAGTCCAGTGAGGGGACATTCTTGCCTTCTCCTGGATCTCTGGGGGAAATAATCTATTTTCTCACCATAAAGTATTATGTTGGCTATAGGTTGTTTTTTAAAGATGCTCTTTATCAAGAAAGTTCTCTATACCTGCTTGTTAATTATGAATGAGAAATAAAGGCAGGCACTTTTAAAACGTTGCTTTAAATCAATCTAGGAACTTCTAAATAACACAAGACCTAAGTCCAGTAAGAAATTAAGTTATTTAGGCAACTATCTCTAATAATCGCTTACTATAATCAAATCGGTATTATAGCATAATTGAGGCAGATACCGCCCACCCTAGGCTGAGTCTGGGAGCCCCAAAACAATGATGAACAAAAGCCTGGAGCTTTAATTAGGAACTCACTTGTAGTGGGTCTGTACTCCGCAGTCTTCAGCAAATAGTTAAAATTTTAAAATCAAACTTTGTTCACAAACAATATGCATTGGTTCAGAACTGAGCACTAACTCTCACAAGCTCTGAGGCATTTTCTTAGAGATAGTGGATTAATCAACAGGTGTATGAGATGTTACTTTATCAGATACTGAAGACCAAGCTTTGGGTAACATTTTTTTTCACTCAATTCCCCTTGGAATATTCATTTTCCCACCCTTTTATTGCAGAAATCACATCGCAGTATAAAAACATACTCCCAGGGTTGGGGTTGTGGCTCAGAGGTCGAGTGCTTGCATAGCGTGTGAGGCACTGGGTTCGATCCTCAGCAACACGTAGAAGTAAGCATATTGTATCCACCAATAATTTAAAAAATAAGCTTAAAAAAACACTTCCAGTCTGGACTCAAGACCTAATTCAGAGAGTCAGCTCCTCCAGTTAACTGCACATTTGGCAAACATCTTAAAAATAAACCCAAAGTATGCGGCGTGGTTTTTTTGGCTTTGGAGGCTGAGGGACTCAAGCGCGGACAAACTTAGAGCATTATTTCCTCTGCACTCTTTTCCATCTAGCTCCTTCCCCAGAGCTGCACCTTGGGCGAAGGCTCTTCATGGACCCTGAAGTCACTCGTCTACAAAAATAAGCGAAAGGAAAATGGAGGCTGCGGCACGCGGTCGCGACAGAAAAGGCTTTCCTGTTTTAAAGAGCAACCAACCAGTGTTAGGATCCAGGAAGAAAGCTCCGCGACTTCGAGTCCAAACCCAGGGCCCACCGCGCAGCCGCCCGCCCGCCTCTCTTTCCACCCAACCCGAGCCCAGCCTCTTCCTTCCTCTTACTCCCGCCCCTTCGCCCTGCCAATCCCTAACCCGGCATGCATCACGCCGACCTTTTCCTTCCTAGCGACCCCACCTTCGGCGCCTCTCAATGACAAGTGGCGCAGAGCATTGTGGTCCCGCTCTCGAAAGAGAGGTTGGGGGCAGAAAAAAGAAAGCAAAAGACTTGGGCAGGCCGGTAGGGCAGTCCCCGCGCACGCGCACGGGAGGAGGCGGGGGTGAAAAGTGGGCGGTGCGTGGCCTACGGCGAGCGGAGTGGGGCGGGGTCGCGCGGCCTTGGCGGGGAGTCCGCGAGCCGGGAGGGGAGGGGGGTGGGTGAGGGAGCGGGCGGAGGAGGAAGTGTCATGGCGTCGGGCCGTGGAGGTTCTTCTCGCTGGTTCTTTACTCGGGAACAGCTGGAAAACACGCCGAGCCGCCGCTGCGGAGTGGAGGCTGATAAAGAACTCTCGTACCGCCAGCAGGCGGCCAACCTCATCCAGGACATGGGACAGCGTCTCAATGTGTATCCTTTCCTGTTCTTGGCCTTCCGCCCCTCACGCCCTGTCTCCCTCGCCGGGTTGCCGGGCCTGGTGTCCCGTGAACATGGCGCCGGTGCCTTGGCCTTATGTGGGCCTTGGCTGTGTCGTGAGTGAGGGGACGCTTGGGCTCGGGCAGTCGCGAGAAGCCCGTGGACGAGGAGAAGGGGAGAGAGGAGCACAGGAACGCAGGCCGGCAGGTTGCGTTGTGTAATCTGTTTGGGGCAGCGCGTGGTGGCGGCAGGGAATGGGAGTGCCTCTCAGGAGAGAGCAGAGTCTGAGTATTATCGAAGGAAAGGGGCGGCTCCTTCGACGTCTCCCTTTGCCAGAGGGGTTGAAAGGTGGGAAAGCTGAGTGGTAGGAAGACTAAAGTGTTCTCCGAGGCCTTTCTCCGCGCTCCTCTCCGGCTCGGTGGCGGTTCTCTTGTGCCTTGGAAGCGCACTACTGGAGGTCTTTATGTTCTTGGCGTGGTTTTGTTTGTATGTGTGTGTGTGCGCGCGCGCGCATTTCAACTGCTTGATTTTTGGTTGTAGCCACTAATAAATAGTTCGAGGGCTCTCATAATAGTAAAGTTAGAGAGAAATGCTCCGCAGGTATTATTTTTGCTGTTTATTTGGCGTCAAGCCTATTATCCCCACCCCCACCCGGATCCGGCTTTTATTTATTTCCTGTTTTGGATTTGGTTTTGAGTGAATTGGAGGCACTGGTAAAGGACCTTAGATCAGGAATTTTCCATCAAAGTTGTTTTGGGAAAGAGATGTTGTTTTTCTCAGAAATTTCCTGAATGTAACATTCCAGCTCTCAGCTTACTATAAACACTGCGATTGTTTATATGCACAGGTTTTATATGCACCATTCTTTCACCAAATTCAGTAGAAATGTAAGTACCATTTTATTACCTATTTTACTGCTACCACAATTTAAAGTAAATCTATACTCAGAAAAATGTTAGTTGGTCATTGATTTTACTGTTGAACTTAGTGTTCCGAATTAACGGTAAAAGTAAATAACGTGATAGATGTTTTGTTCAAACGCGGAGGGTTTCTTTGTGTACGTGTTTAAATTTTATAATGAATTAAACGGTAAGGCACTGTGTTAGGCTCTGCCAGGCCTTTTAAGCTGAAAAATAAGAAACGTTTGCCTCAGAGTTCATAAATCGGTTTTCTTCATTTAAATTTTTGTATTTTACATTTGAATATGTTTAGTAATCTTTGTGTAGATTGGGCGAGCCTGTTCATTCAGTGATAAATCTTAATTTTATTGGACTGTTTCAAATAATTGGAAACTGGGATTAATTTCTTTGAAGTGATACTGAAAGAGCTAGCTGTTTAGGGAAATACTTACTAACAGTTTAAGATGTCAGAGTTTCTGTTTATCATACATTAGCATTAGTTGTCTCCTTAAGCATTAAGTTATTCAAATGTCAAAATTCTTTCTTCATGTAGTCTGTGTCAGGAGTGTATTTGTATATGTTAATTTTGATGGAAAACTTGGATACTAAAGTATTTATTTCTTTTCAGAATAACATGTGTTGCACTTGTTAGCCAAAGGAAAAAGAAATGCATATTGTTTAGAAATGTTTAACCCTGGCTTAAATCTCACTATCTTTATTTTTTACTCTTTTCCCCATGGTTTTCTGAATGTTATTCTTAAAAAATGTGTGTTGGAGAACTTAATGCAATTTTGGATAGTCATTAGGACTTCATTTGCTAAGAAAACAGTCTTAGAAAGCATCCTTAAGAATGTTATTTTTGAAAGGGGAGAGTTTCATGATTTAGATTGATCCCTGCTTCTAGCTCTTATGATCATAAATCTAATTTGGTTTATTAGATTTATCTTGAATAGTATTTCTACTATTACATATATATACATATTTCTGTGTAGGTTTAGGTCTCTTGCCTTCCCCTTTATTTCTAATCTTCTTAAATCTGTGTAATTAATTCTTGCTTTATTGATTTCAGTTTCCTGGTTATTTTTTAGGTATAAGTCAGTGAATAGTATTGTGGAGGAGAAAGGAAACCAATAGGAATAATATTTAGGTTAAAGGAATCACATTTTTAAGTAATTCCTTTAACCTAAATATTAGATTCAAGGTAGTAGTGAACTTAATGAATACTAACATAAATTTTGCTGTTCTTAAGTACTCATGGGTAATGCTGGTAAAAGTTATAAATCAAAAAGTTCTGGAAATTCTTTATACATCTTTATATAGATGTCCCATTTGGTGAATTGGGTTTACTTTTCTACTTCCAGCAATGATCATCTCATACATGTCTTCATTTCTTTTTTTAAGTTTTTCCTCTTACATAATTTGTCTTTATGAGTTGATTGGTGTGCTTCAAAATATCTTGTTGAAGGCCAGGCCAAAATTTACAACTTTAAATTGATGGGTAAGGCCCAGGTCATTTTAATTCTAGCTTTCACTATTTTATTAAATGTCATTATTCAGTAAATAGCTAGAATATTTTATTATTATTATTATTATTATTATTGTCATGTGTGTATGAAGATAAACTTCAGCATTTTATATTTAATTATTATCAGCAACATTGAAATCTTAGGCTAATTTCTGTTTTGCAAAGCAACATGACATCCTTCACATAAAACTTGTCCTTTTTACCTTCATTATTACAATCTCATAAGTGATTGTTAATGTTAGTGTACTTGAATCAATTTCACAACCTGACCCTTTTGCGCACGTGCGCGCACACACACACACACACACACACACACACACACACCATCCTTTAGGGTGAAAGGGGTGATCTCAAATTGAATGTGAGTCAGTGCTTAAATTCATATTCACCCAGATTATTGGGAAATTTTTTATTTAGGGATGTAATCAAATGTTGGGTTTACAAAAGCCTAAGTCTTCACATAGTATACTGAACATCATTTAGTAATTGGACCTATGGAATAACAAGCTTAGATTTTTAAGCTGTTAGAACAAACTGTATCAAGTCTTAAATATAATTGTCACTTCATTTTATTTCCAACATTGACAAATAGTATTTAAGAATAAAATCATTATCACCCTGTGCTGGTGACCCACTGTCTCTTTCTCATCCTGTTCTTTTGTCAATTTCTTGTAGAATTGAATCACTATAAGAAGTAAATGACTTTTCATCTGTAGTCTAATTAGGTAAATCTATCCTTCATTTACTGTGTGCCTTATGTAATTCAGATTGACAATTAAATTTCTAGATCACGTTTAAGATAGGTCTAGTAAAAGTATAAAGGCCCTGGGGCTGACAGTGCCTACAAGGTATAAACTGAGGGTTGAGCATCCTCAGTAGGTTTTTTTCTTTTTGTTTTTGTTTTTGGTGATGCCAGAGATTGAACCAAGTCTTATGCTAGGCATGTACACTGCCCACTAAGCTATATCCCCAGCCCCTCCAGTATCACATTTAAGAGTAGATATTGACTTAGTTTCTCAGATTCTTTATTAATTTGGTTAGACAAGTTTATGATGGTGTTTGTTTCTTTTTTGTATCACTGGTGGTTGAACCCAAGGCCTCACTCATATTAGGCAAGCACTCTGAGCTAATCCTCAAAACTTTTATTTTACTTTGAGACTATCTTGCCAAATTGGCGGGTCTGTCTTCTGAATTGCCATCCTCCTGCCTAGGCCTCCTGAGTAGGTAGAATTTCAGTCATGTGCCACTCACCCAGTGCACTTTAAATTATTTTTGCTGGGTGGCGGGGGTGGGGCAGGGGGAGATACTGGGAGTTGAACAGAAGCACTTTACCCTTGAACTATATCCCCAGCCCTTTTTGTATATTTTATTTAAGACAGTGTCTCACTAAGTTGCTTATGGCCTTTCTGAGTTGCAGAGGCTGACCTTGAACATGCTATCATCCTGCATCAGCCTCCAGAACCACTGGGATTGAATGTGTGCATCACCATATGCAAATAAGTCCAGTGAGTTCCCTTAAGGATCTCTTAAGTATTTTTGTTGGTCGTAGTCTGCTGTAATAGCACTTCTCCAATTGATGTATTTTATTTTCCTTAATAGGATTGCCTCTTTCTTGAGTTCATCAATTAGAACTACAGATAATATGCAAATTTTAAATGTATTATAGTTCTATTTAAGAGCCCACGAATATATGGTGAGTAAAGGACAGCACTAGGAGTTAATGATATTAAGAAATGACTACTGGGGCTGGGGCTCAGTGGTAGAGTGAGCGCCTTGTATGAATGAGGCACTGGGTTTGATCCTCAGCACCACATAAAAATAAATAAAATAGAGGCATTCTGTCCATCTACAATTACAAAAAAAAGAAAAAAAAGAAATGACTGTAACAGTTAGTGAGAATGGACATAGTCTACATCATAGTTGAGTTTAATTTTATACATGTACATTAGATTGATTCCCTGCTGCACATAAGCAGATTTGTATTTGTGCAATTTGATTTCCACTTTCTGCTCACAATTTTTGTTTTGTTTCTCAGTTGAGTTGGCTCTTGAGTAGTGGAAATCATTGGAAATTTAAAGATAATCTGGTATTCTTTTCTTCCCTTATGAAGACTTAAGTGATTCTGAGGAAGGACTTTTTTTAGAGTCTATCATGAGAAGTGTTCACAATTCCTGTTCTTTGTCTGATAAAAGCTACCTATTAGAATGTAATGGCAGGGTTTTTGTTTTGTTAGTTATTTTGCTTTACTCACTGTTACATTACTGCTGCCTAGAAGGCTGCCTCACATACAGAAGATAGTTTATATTATTCTAATATGCCTTGCCCACATACATGCATTTAGAGTGTTTTATGATTGAAAACTATTGCAGGCATATAGCAAATTAAAATGGTAGAAAGAGGGTTAGGTGTAGCTGCTTCTGGGGTGGTTTTTTGTTTTAGTTTTGGTATCAGAGATGGAACCCAAGGGTGCTTATCCACTGAATCACATCCCCAACCAATTTTTATTTTGAGATGGGGACTTGCAAAATTGCTTAGGGCCTCACTTAAGTTGTGAGGCAGGTTTGGAACTTGTGATTCTCCTGCCTCAAATCTCCAGAGCTGCTGAGATTACAGGTATAAGAAAGTTTTTATATTGGAATGTTTTGGTTCGTCTACTCTGTTGAAATCCAGTGGTACATACCATCCACAATAAATATTTGGTCCCTGCTCTATATTTAATACCTCTTAAAGATATAATTGACATTGCTTATGTTTCAGCTGTTGAAAATAAATGAGTGGGCTTTTTTTTAAGTATATTTAGAGTTATACATTAATTTCAGAAGTTGTTATCATTTCTCTTTGTTACCTCAAAAAGAAAACCCACTCTCTGCCCATTCTTTCCCTTAGCCTATGTGAACATTTCATATAAAGGGAATCCATACACTCAGTAGTCCTCTTGCCACACTTTGGCTATTTTGAATATTGTAGCTGTGAACATTGATAGTATGTTTTGCTTTCCCTTGGGTTCATGCCCAGGAGGAAAACTGCTGGATCATATACTAGATTCCAGTAATATTTTTTTTTTTTTTTTTTTTTTTGGTACTGGGAATTGAACTCAGGGGCACTTAACCACTGAGCCACATCCCCAGCCCTATTTTATTTATAGACAGGTTTTCACTGCTTGTGTATCCAGAAGGGAAATTGGCTGGATTATATAATTCTATTTTTAATTCTTTTAGGAATTTACCATTTGTAGCATTTTACATTTCCACCATCAGTGCACTAGGGTTCCAGTTTCCATATCTTTGCCCGCAACTTTTCTGTTTTGAAATAGTAGCCATCCTAACTGTTGATCTTACTGAGATTTTGATTTGCATTTCTGTAATAACTACTTAATCTTCTGTGCTTGTTGGCCATTTGTATCTTCTTTGGAGACATGTTTAATCAAGTCCTTTGTCCATCTTTCAGTTGCATTGTTTGTTTT